ACATGACCAAAGACTGGGTTTCCTCCTTTCTGATGCTTTGCCTGAAGTCTGAAACCCATGGACATTACCAGAAACTGGGTTTCCTCCTTTCTGATGCCTTGCCTGAAGTCTGGAACCCATGGACATGACCAAAGACTGGGTTTCCTCTTTTCTGATGCTTTGCCTGAAGTCTGGAACCCATGGACATGACTAGAGATGAGCGAAGAAATGAAAAATTCGATTCGACTGATTCGGCGAATTCGTGGACAATATTCGATTCGAGTCGAATAAATTCGCTGTGAATTTAACTTAAAAAAGGGTGTTTCTAGGCTTCAGAGAGACTTAATATTAGTGCAGAACACTGTACCTTTAATTTAAATGCCCTTGGAGTCTGCTGGGGAAGAGAAATAATACTGTCAGTCAGTATGACATGCAGATGAGTGCCGTCGATCTTAGAATCACCGCACACTTCACTCATTTGGGCAGTCACGGGCCAAAACCAGAGTGTGGAGCCACAGTGTGGCGGTGGAGGCAGCAGCAATGGGAGGCCATACAGCACCCTATGACAAAAATGGAAACCACCAGCAGTGTGAGGAGACCTGAAAGTGGCACATGGCAGAGTGTGGCGATAGAGACAGCAGCAATGGGAGGCCGTACAGGGACCCATGACACACTCTGGACCTGGCAGCAGCATGAGGAGGCGGTACAGGGGCCCATGACAGATTACGGGCCTGGCAGCAGCATGAGGAGTCGGTACAGGGGCCCATGGCAGATTACGGGCCTGGCAGCAGCAATGGGAGGCCGTACAGGGACCCATGACACACTCTGGACCTGGCAGCAGCATGGGGAGGCGGTACAGGGGCCCATGACAGATTACGGGCCTGGCAGCAGCATGAGGAGTCGGTACGGGGGCCCATGACACACTCTGGACCTGGCAGCAGCATGAGGAGGCGGTACAGGGGCGCATGACAGATTACGAGCCTGGCAGCAGCAACTTGGACAGGAGGACGTTCAGCTTCTGCACCGTCGGGTGCGTGCTCGCAAACTGTTGTCTCTTGGAAACGGATTCCAAGAAAGACTGCTGACGGAATCCGTGAAGAGGAGTAGCAGGAGAAGGAGCATCTGAACGAGCGGAATATGCCAACAAGCGACAACAGTGGCCCATGACAGATTACGGGCCTGGCAGCAGCATGAGGAGTCGGTACGGGGGCCCATGGCAGATTACGGGCCTGGCAGCAGCTATGGGAGGCCCGTAATCTGCCAGCACCCTATGACAAAAAATGGAACCCACCAGCAGTGTGAGGAGACCTGAAAGTGTGCACATGGCAGAGTGTGGCGATGGAGACAGCAGCAATGGGAGGCCGTACAGGGACCCATGAGAGACTCTGGACCTGGCAGCAGCATGAGGAGGCGGTATAGGGGGCCCATGGCAGATTAGGGGCCTGGCAGCAGCTATGGGAGGCCCGTAATCTGCCAGCACCCTATGACAAAAAATGGAACACACCAGCAGTGTGAGGAGACCTGAAAGTGGCACATGGCAGAGTGTGGCGATGGAGGCAGCAGCAATGGGAGGCCGTACAGGGACCCATGAGAGACTCTGGACTTGGCAGCAGCATGAGGAGGCGGTATAGGGGCCCATGGCAGATTAGGGGCCTGGCAGCAGCTATGGGAGGCCCGTAATCTGCCAGCACCCTATGACAAAAAATGGAACACACCAGCAGTGTGAGGAGACCTGAAAGTGGCACATGTTTGGGGCATGATTCATGGCGGATTTAGTCAGTTGTGTCAGGAACTGGTGGTTTGAAATCCAGACTAATCCACGCCTGATTCATTTTCACAAACGTGAGTCTCTCCACACTTTGGGTGGACAGTCGTGTCCTCCGCGGAGTTGCAATACCTCCTGCCGCACTAAACACGCGCTCCGATGCCACGCTACTGGCCGGGCATGACAGCCTTTCAAGGGCAAATTCAGCTAGTTGGGGCCAAAGGTCAAGTTTCGTTGCCCAGTAGTCAAGGGGATTGTCTACCTCGGTTGGCAGGGTGCTGTCCAAGTAGGCCTAAGCCTGTTGTTTGAGGTCCTGCTCCAGGTCCACCTGATGCTGCTGCTGCTGCTGCGCTGCGGCTGGTTAGTAGTTTCCTCACTGCGCTGGTGAAGAAAGCTACTCATCATCGACTGCAGACTGAGGCAGCCGCTGCTGGTGGAGCTGCCACTGCTCCTACCACCCCACCCCTCCCCTGCTGCCATGGCAGCGGAACGCGAGCGCACAGGGCCCACAGTGTCTGAGGATGGACGTTGGCGCAGACAGGCAGAGACCAGCTGACTACATAGGTGTTTTTTATAGTACGTTATTTTGGCCTCCCTCTCAGCAGGTGTGAAAAAGGCCACCATTTTTGATTGAACGGTAGCGAGGGTCCAACAAGGTGGACAGCCAAAAGTCATCCCTCTGTCTGATGGTTATTATTCGGCTGTCGCTACGCAAGCAACCGAGCATGCTATGGGCCATTTGTGCCAAGGAATGCGAGGGACTCCCTGCCTCCATCTCCACAGCATACTGCCACGGTGCGTCTAGGTCCTCTGTCTCCTCTTCCTCCTCCTCTACCAGATGCTCCTGCTCCTCCACTCCTGTCCGCTGAGTGGAAAAACCACCCATTTCACTCAATAATTCCTGAGCACCAATGTCCTCCTCTACCTCCTCCTCTTCTTCCAGTCCTGCCCCCACAGGGGCCATGTGGCGTTGAGATCTGTGTGCGCCACGTCTACCGCACCCTGACCAGCCATTGTTAACAGCATTTGTTCCAGGACGTGCAACAGAGGAATGACGTCGTTCATCCCATAGTCCTGCCGACTCACGAATAGCGTGGCCTCCTCAAAGGGCCTGAGCAAGCGCAGGTGTCACGCATGAGCTGCCAATGGCTGACATCTAAGTTACACAGGGAGTACCTTTATCTGCTTTTAACATCAGGAAATCTGTGATGGCCTTTTGCTGTTCGTAAAGGCGGTCTAACATATGTAGGGTTGAATTCCACCTTGTTGCAACGTCACAGCATGAGGAGTCGGTATAGGGGCCCATGGCAGATTAGGGGCCTGGCAGCAGTTATGGGAGGCCCATAATCTGCCAGCACCCTATGACAAAAAATGGAACACACCAGCAGTGTGAGGAGACCTGAAAGTGGCACATGGCAGAGTGTGGCGATGGAGACAGCAGCAATGGGAGGCCGTACAGGGACCCATGAGAGACTCTGGACCTGGCAGCAGCATGAGGAGGCGGTATATAGGGGCCTACGGCAGATTAGGGGCCTGGCAGCAGCTATAGGAGGCCCGTAATCTGCCAGCACCCTATGTCAAAAAATTCAACACACCAGCAGTGTGTGAGGAGACCTGAAAGTGGCACATGGCAGAGTGTGGCGATGGAGACAGCAGCAATGGGAGGCCGTACAGGGACCCATGACAGACTCTGGACTTGGCAGCAGCATGAGGAGGCGGTATATAGGGGCTTATGGCAGATTAGGGGCCTGGCAGCAGCTATAGGAGGCCCGTAATCTGCCAGCACCCTATGTCAAAAAATTCAACACACCAGCAGTGTGAGGAGACCTGAAAGTGGCACATGGCAGAGTGTGGCGATGGAGACAGCAGCAATGGGAGGCCGTACAGGGACCCATGACAGACTCTGAACTTGGCAGCAGCATGAGGAGGCGGTATATAGGGGCCCATGGCAGATTAGGGGCCTGGCAGCAGCTATAGGAGGCCCGTAATCTGCCAGCACCCTATGTCAAAAAATTCAACACACCAGCAGTGTGAGGAGACCTGAAGTGGCACATGGCAGAGAGTGTGGCGATGGAGACAGCAGCAATGGGAGGCCGTACAGGGACCCATGACAGACTCTGGACTTGGCAGCAGCATGAGGAGGCGGTATATAGGGGCCCATGGCAGATTAGGGGCCTGGCAGCAGCTATGGGAGGCCCGTAATCTGCCAGCACCCTATGTCAAAAAATTCTACACACACCAGCAGTGTGTGAGGAGACCTGAAAGTGGCACATGGCAGAGTGTGGCGATGGAGACAGCAGCAATGGGAGGCCGTACAGGGACCCATGACAGACTCTGGACTTGGCAGCAGCATGAGGAGGCGGTATATAGGGGCCCATGGCAGATTAGGGGCCTGGCAGCAGCTATGGGAGGCCCGTAATCTGCCAGCACCCTATGTCAAAAAATTCAACACACCAGCAGTGTGTGAGGAGACCTGAAAGTGGCACATGGCAGAGTGTGGCGATGGAGAAAGCAGCAATGGGAGGCCGTACAGGGACCCATGAGAGACTCTGGACCTGGCAGCAGCATGAGGAGGCGGTATATAGGGGCCCATGGCAGATTAGGGGCCTGGCAGCAGCTATGTGAGGCCCGTAATCTGCCTGCACCCTATGTCAAAAAAATTAAACACACCAGCAGTGTGAAGACCTGAAAGACCTGAAAGTGGCACATGGCATGAGAGAGACTCTGGACCTGGCAGCAGCAGGAGGAGGCGGTATAGGGGCCCATGGCTGATTAGGGGCCTGGCAGCAGCTATGTGAGGCCCGTTATCTTGCAGCACCCTATGTCAAAAAATTTAACACACCAGCAGTGTGAAGAGACCTGAAAGTGGCACATGGCAGCAGAGTGTGGCGATGGAGACAGCAGCAATGGGAGGCCGTACAGGGACCCATGAGAGACTCTGGACCTGGCAGCAGCAGGAGGAGGCGGTATAGGGGGCCCATGGCTGATTAGGGGCCTGGCAGCAGCTATGTGTGGGCCCGTTATCTTGCAGCACCCTATGTCAAAAAATTTAACACACCCAGCAGTGTGAAGAGACCTGAAAGTGGCACATGGCAGCAGAGTGTGGCGATGGAGACAGCAGCAATGGGAGGCCGTACAGGGACCCATGAGAGACTCTGGACCTGGCAGCAGCAGGAGGAGGTGGTATATAGGGGCCCATGGCAGATTAGGGGCCTGGCAGCAGCTATGTGAGGCCCGTAATCTGCCTGCACCCTATGTCAAAAAATTTAACACACCAGCAGTGTGAAGAGACCTGAAAGTGGCACATGGCAGCAGAGTGTGGCGATGGAGACAGCAGCAATGGGAGGCCGTACAGGGACCATGACAGACTCTGGACTTGGCAGCAGCATGAGGAGGCGGTATATAGGGGCCTATGGCAGATTAGGGGCCTGGCAGCAGCTATAGACCTGAAAGTGGCACATGGCAGCAGAGTGTGGCGATGGAGACAGCAGCAATGGGAGGCCGTACAGGGACCATGACAGACTCTGGACTTGGCAGCAGCATGAGGAGGCGGTATATAGGGGCCCATGGCAGATTAGGGGCCTGGCAGCAGCTATGTGAGGCCCGTAATCTGCCTGCACCCTATGTCAAAAAATTTAACACACCAGCAGTGTGAAGAGACCTGAAAGTGGCACATGGCAGCAGAGTGTGGCGATGGAGACAGCAGCAATGGGAGGCCGTACAGGGACCATGACAGACTCTGGACTTGGCAGCAGCATGAGGAGGCGGTATATAGGGGCCCTATGGCAGATTAGGGGCCTGGCAGCAGCTATGTGAGTCAAGTGCCAAGTGCGATCAACCTCCTCATCATCAAGTAGGGTCTCCGCCTCACTACTAGCCCCCTCGGCTGCGTCTGGGTCAGGAGACAGACCTGTCTCTAGACCGGCTACCGAGCCACTCTCCTCGCCAGTACTTGTTCGCTTGGCTGCTGAAAAGGCCGATGTCTCCCCCCGTTCCTGACCGCCCTCTGTTAGCTCTTCCTCACTGTACAGTGGGGCTGAGCCCACAGCATGCGATACTTCGCTTGGTGAGGGAACAGCAAAGGACAGGGGCAGGTAGAGGACACGTGATTTCAGTGGGCTTGGTCCCGGGCCATGCCAACTAACGGTTGTGTCTGACGTACCCACCGACCGTTGGCTGTAGGTGTCAGAGGTGACCTGGGAAGAGGAAGACGACCGAGCCAACCAATCAATGACGGCAGGGTTGTCGGTGGAGACACGACCGCTGGATGACACCGGGAGCACTGGCCTCTGGCTGCGAATACTGCTGCCTCGACCCCTTCCTCTGCTGCCACGTCTGCTCGCTCCTAAAACATTGCCTCCTCTGCCACTCCTCTGCATGTTGTCTGACATACTATTTAATTCAACGATTAGGTGTCCCTGAGTAACAATTCTCTGGCACTCAGTAACAATTCTGTCTGTCCCTGAGTATGAATTCTGTGGCCGCTGAGTAACAATTCTGTGTCTGTGCGAGTAACAATTCTGTGTCTGTGCGAGTAACAATTCTGTGTCTGTGCAAGTAACAATTTTGTGTCTGTGCGAGTAACAATTCTCTGGCACTCAGTAACAATTCTGTCTGTCCCTGAGTAACAATTCTCTGGCACTCAGTAACAATTCTGTCTGTCCCTGATAACAATTCTCTG